TTATGCTAATACATTTTATAAAATAGTTCAATCAAACATCTACAAATTTTTAAATTTATATGTGATATTTTTCTTACGCTTGTTTGGTTGGCTGAAAAAGTGACATGAACAGTGAATCCATCGTTTGTTTACCATTATAGTTATTACGTGAATAGCTGTCCAACAGATGGTATCTATCGAGGGGAATAGCTATTATCAATAGCCATTCCAAGAGACAAGGTGAAGATAACATTCTCTACGATAAATTTTGTATTTTCAATTTTTTTTCTTTTGTAATTTTTTTAATTCTTTTTTTTTTTTTCAAATTTTGCTCGCCAGTTTCTCAAGAAATAAAGGAAGAGCTTCACCGGAGATGGGGTTTTTGGTCATCAAAGGTGCGGATCAGAGAGCCAGTCCCCAAAATTGGAGGCTTGAAGAACCGGTCTGGAGCACTAGCAGCTAGAATAGGTGGCTGGCAGCCAAGATTCGGCGCATCAAGGACCAGATCTGACTTTGGCGGTGCCAATATGGTGTGCTAGCAACTAGTTTTGGTCCTTGGTAGCGAAGATGGAACACCTGCACAACAGAATCTTTCCCAAAGTGATAAACTGATAATTATTATTATTATTATTATTCACATAAAAATCAAGAATCTTTGGCTTTATTTCGGATTAAGTTCTAATTGGGATGTTAGAGATATTCTGTTAATAAATTATAAAAAAGTTGTTAACAATTAAGCATTTCAAAATTTTTTGATGTTCTAAAGAGTAAAACTAGTATTCATCAACCTCGACAATTTTTTATCACTTTCTTTTCTTTTTCCAAACGAAAAAAATAACGATATTGAAGAAATAATGCCATTGACAAAAGACAAAAAGTGGTAGGGAATCAGAGAGCAGCTTATCACTTTTATTTTAGGTAAAAATAAAATAATTTAAAATTAAATTAAATTAATTTATTTAATCATTTTTAAAAAATAAAATTCAATAAACTTGATGTTCAATCCTCAAACCTTGCAATTTCTTTCTCTTCCTATAAGTTATAATCTCTTTTATACCAAAAAATAAAATAATGTACATATATATAATTACTTTTCCAATCTAAGGTTAAGGTAAATCACAAGTTTTAGAGAGAATTTACAACTGAATTTATAGATTATTCAAAAAAAATTACTCATAACGAGAATAAATTTTAAACTTTATAAAAGAAGTATTCGATTTTTACTAATTTAACCAATTATCATCACCGTATAATTGTTTATTAGCATCTTGATCTTTGTAGTTATGGTTGCAGCCATGGGAGACCGAGGCCATTGCCTCCCAAAAGAATTTTGATCATATTATAATAACTATTTCAGTTCTAATAATCTAAAATTCGGCTCCCTCTTTTCAAATTAGTTTACTATTCTATTCTCTTCCATGATTTTACAGGTTTCACCCTTGGTTATGGCAATTTCCACTCAAACAACTAAAATTTCTTTTCTTCATGATTTTTTTTTTTCATAATCTTAATCACTTTTAAAAGTAAAGAAAATTCAAATGGAATAATATTCCCAAATGAAAAACAACCTCTAAAGTTGCTTTTAAAGATTCTTTGTATTTTATTCTTTGTATTCTCGACGTTGTTTTGCGACACACTTCTCCTAAAAGCTCCTTAAAAAACCTTTCAAAAAGCTTAAGTTGTGGCATTACTCTTTGTGACACTTGAAATATTTTATGGATCTATTATGATATATAAATAAATATTTAAATTTAAAATTTATTAGATATTTTTTATGAGATAAAATCATAAAATTTTTATATTAAAATGAATAATATCTAATAAATTAGATGTAAATATTTACAAATCATATCAAAACAATCATTAGTCAAACAAGAATTAAATACTATATCATAGGAGTCACTTTTAAAATTTTATGAGAGCTAAGTACTATACGATGAAAGTCACTTATAAAATTTTAATGTTTGGTATGATTTTATGATCTATGTGTACTTTGTATTGAATTTGTTTAACGTTTAATATGATTCAATATATTTACATACTTTGTGTTGGGTTTGATAAAGACGTTAAGTTTTAATAGAGGAGTTTGTGACAAGACTCTATGAATCTGCTATGATCTATAAGTAAAAATTTAAATTCAAAACTTATGAAATGATTTTTGTAAGATAAAATCGTGAAAATTTTAAATCAAAACACATAATACCTCACAAGTATAATATAAATTTTTACTTGCAACGATAACTTATTAAAGAAAACAGACAACTTTTAAATTATTTTTTGTTATTTATCAAATTATTATTATATGTTTTGAAACCGGTAATATTATATCTTGTTAGTTTTACATTTATTAATTTATCATCAAATTACTTAATGTGTTATATTTTTTTGTAGTAAAAGAAACCAATAATAGTATAATTATTACATTTACATTTATTTGTTATCAAATTATTAAAATTTTCATTGTATATAATAAAAGTAGTAAAACCATATTTTTATACTTTTAGCCTTATTAGCTATTAAATTACTTAAATACTATTTTTACATAATAACGAAATTAATAATGCAATCAAAAGTGAATAAAACAGCCATTCGGATTCTAAGAAATGGTAACCATCAATCTTTCAGTGGAGCAATTCAACTAGACTCAATAATTAATTTATAACATAGCACTGTAACATGATATGAAAATTATATAAAAAATAAAAATAATATTAATTATAATTTTAATAAAATTTATATATGAATTTAATAAAAATTTAAAAATATATTTCATAATTTTTTATATTGATACGAATTATAATATAATTTTTTTATAAAATATAATATAAATATATAAATTATCAATATTTTTATAAAACATAAATATATAAATTATAAAATTTAAATTCAACCTTCAATGAAAAGAGCATCTGATCCAATTCCCATGTGAAACTCCATAAAGCAATTTCAACTTGATATATAAAGCAAATAAAGTATGCAAATAAAGAGTCTGGTTCAAAGTATTTGGGTGGAAACTTACCATAAAGCATATTCTAGGGGGCTTTCCCTACAATTTTCCAGTTTTGCTTTAATTAATCTTTAAATCTTTTGCGTTTATTCTATAAAAAGGAAGTAATTTTCCTTTTATTTATAAATTATTATTCTGTATTCGAATTGATGCTGCGGCTGCTGTTCTGTTGGCATTTTTTAAATCCGACGGCTGTTTTATACACTTTCTAGATGTCCTATATATAGGTTTTTTTTTGGCATACAGTAAAATGGTGGTTTAAAGCTAAGAAAAAAATTATCAATATATTGGAATTTAACTTTTGAATATTATTTTTTAAAAATAATTGTATAAATTAATTAGGCAAGTGTCCAATTGAAAGGATGCTTTTTTTTTTTTTTCTTTTAGAACTTAAATTAAGATAACTTACACATATTATTCTTATTCTTTAACCTTTATTTAGATTTGACTTTATTCTTTAATGTTGACTATTCAAATGGAATAATTCATTCAAAGTTAAAAATTAAAGTGAAAGTAAGATCGTTGATGAAACTTATCCCTTTAAATTGTTTGTATTGAATATTCAGGTAAAAATGCAAACATGATAAGTTCCTATAGAGTAAATTATACAAATGTCCTTGAAATTTTATCACACATAAAGACACTAACTTGCAAAAAAAAAACATACATTTCATCCCAAAATATTTCTTTTTTTTTATTATTTAACAAAAAAATTCCTACTGTCAAGTTTTTGTTAGAGTAATTGTTAAAAAAAAAATGCTCTTAATTGTATCTGAGCATTTAGGTTTTGCTTAGGAGAGGATGAAATAGGGTGACAATGAAAAATTTATTAATTTAATGATTAAATTTCAAAATAAAAAAGTGATTATAAATTTTAATCGTTATATTAATAAATTTTTTATCCTCACCCTTTTTCATTTTCTTTACTGAGCAAAACTTTAGTTTAATAATTGATGCATGATTCTCTTGTTCACAAAGAAAGTTTGAATCCTCTCTTTTCCAAATAAAAAATGCCCGTAATCTTCGAATATTTGTCAATAACCATTCAAATAAATTCAAATAATTATTTTTACGAAATACATGAATCAACTTATACGACAATTTAATTTGGTGAAATATGAAATATTTCATAACATCAAATTACTAATTATAATGAAATAAAACTTAATAATTTTACTTTTATGTAATAAAATATTAAAGACCAAAAGGTTGTTTTCATTTTTTATAAAATTCAAAGGCTCATTTGAGTATTATCTCTATATATTTAAATTGCATGTATCAAATGCCTTTATTATTAGATAAATTTACTACTCTAATGTAGCCCAATGATTGTTCATATTAACATGTTAGTTAGCATGGGACTGATTTTTATTAAGTGTATGGTTTTTTTTTTTTTCTTGTCGTGGTTCTCACTTGTAATTTCAATGTTCTTGTTATATTTATATATATATATATATATATATAGAGAGAGAGAGAGAGAGAGAGAGAGAGAGAGAAATCCACTTACATTAATGTAATTCTTACATTTTTTTTTAAACTTTAAATTAAAATTACTAAATTTAAAAATATTATTTTATTCAAATAAGTTATGAATTTAATTTTGATCCAAAAGTTAAAAAACTATAAGTGTTACATTAGTGTTAATGGATCTTTACATATATATATGTAAGTCATAATTTGAGAATAAAAAAATAAATTATAAATACTAAAGTTTAAATTTCAGATTGGATGAAAATCATCTATAATTATATGAACTAATAGAGCTACGCTGATTCAAATATTCTGTTTTTATCTGTACAAGAAGAGCTCTGGCATTTATTTGAGATAACGAAAGGTACGCAAATAAAACAGTCCTTATGGGACCAAGGGAATATATGAAATGCCTCAAAGAGTATAAGTTTATTATTTTATTAGGCAATTGGAAATTAAACAATAGCTATCACATGGCCAAACCTGAATACGAATTAATATATATACAGATAGGCATTGAATGAAATCAAAAAGAGCCATAGAAGTAGTGAGTAAATACTACACGTACACCATGGGCAGACAACCACATGTACTAGTTCTACCATTCCCGGGGCAAGGACATATAGTGCCTATTATGAAGTTCGCCATCCAAATTGCAGCTCAAGGTGTAAAAGTCACCTTTGTCAATACAGAATTCGTACATGCAAAAATGATGGCTTCATTACCAGAGAAAGCTGAGGAGCGGAGCCTGATAAACTTTGTCTCACTTCCTGATGGATTAGAATTGGAGGATGATCGAGCTGATCTTGTTAAATTGACAGAATCTGTACACAGAACTATGCCAGGCTATTTAGAGGACTTCATACTGAAGATGTCAAATATCAATGAACAGATCACTTGTGTCATAGCTGATACAGCAGTTGGCTGGGCACATGAAATGGCCAAGAAACTGGGAATCGAAGCAGTTGCATTTTGGCCTTCTGCAGGAGCAGGCTTGGCTTTCTCAATACATATTCCACAACTTCTTGAGGCTGGACTTATAAGTAAAGATGGTAAGAATGCGAAAAATCTAAAAAAAATTGTTTTTATTTTCTTATTGTAATTTGTACAATTCCACATTTAATTTGCTTTTGAGAAAAACAAAGTCACAAACTCAAGAAAGATGCATGTAAACTAATTGCCATACCAAAGTTTGTGACGGATTTTCATGATTAAAAAAGCAGTAGAAATTCCTGCCAAGCTTTATCTAATTGAAAAACTTGATCTTCTCTATAGGAACCTTAATGACAGATGAACCAATCTCGTTGTCAAAGGATCTCCCACCCTGGACCAGCTCTGATATTGGAAGCGATCCACTGATTCAGAAGCTTGTATTTGAATTTTGTTATTTTGTCTCAAAGTATGCCAAATTTCATGACTGGATAGTTTGCAACTCAAATTACGAACTGGAGTCAGCGGCCCTGCAATTGATTCCCAACATCTTGCCCATTGGCCCATTACTCTCAGGTAACCATTTGACTACTACTTTCGTTGGAAACTTATGGCCCGAAGACTCAACATGCTTAGAATGGCTCGATAAGCAATCTTCAGCTTCTGTCATTTTTGTTGCATTTGGTAGCACAACAACGTTAAGCGCGCAACAAGTGCAAGAGCTAGCACTTGGTCTAGAACTCACTGGCCAACCATTTTTATGGGTTGTTCGATCTGAAATTATGAGTGGATCACTTGCTAAATTCCCAGATGGATTCATAGATAGAGTAGCCGAACGAGCAAAATTTGTTGAATGGGCGCCTCAGGAAAAGGTGTTAGCTCACCCTTCGGTTGCTTGTTTCATGAGCCACTGTGGATGGAATTCCATCCTGGAGGGTCTGGGGGTACCCTTCCTATGTTGGCCTTACTTTGCAGATCATTTCTATAACAAGAAGTGCATTTGTGATGTTTGGAAGTTTGGTTTAGGGTTTATTGAAGATGAAAATGGAATCATAACCAGGCATGAAATAAGTACAAAGATCAAGACATTACTCTCTTCTGATGATCTAAAAGCAAATGCGCTGCATATGAAGGAACTTGCTAGAAAGAGTTGCGATGAAGGTGGGTCTTCTTTCAGGAACTTGAAGAAGTTTATTGAACATATTAAGAGCCTTTAGACCTGCCTGCCTGATCGTTTCAGAAGTACTGCATGGAGAGAAGACACATTCTGCCATAGTGATCTGTACTGCTGGATTAATCCCCTTAACTGAAGATGTAATAAATTGTTTGAATTTCCTTTGATTAATCATAAATATGCTTTCTTTCAATGGTTTGGCCAAGCCTGCGTTGATAGGGAGCATTCTCTGTTTCCTTCTTGTTTTAAGAAAATTTGAAGCGTGTGACGTGGTTTGGTTTTATTTGGATTTTCCTTTTATCCAAAGCTGTAATCTTGAATTTTAATGAACACATTCGTATGGATTTTAATAGCGCCTTTAGACGAAGAATTTTGAAATTTTTAAAAGAATTTTAAATAAAATATTTTAAAATATTAGTATTTGTAATTATTTTATTTGGATAAATATTTGTTAAAAGGAAATATAATTAGATAAAAAGTAACATTAAAATAAGAATAATGATATTAAAAACAAAAATATATATCATTAAATTTGTAATTTATTATTAAAAAAATATATAATTAAATTGGTAAAAATATAAAGTTACTATCAATAATATAAAAAAAATATTGTTAAATAAAAATGTATTTTGTCTTTTTATTAATGGATTTGGATAAGGGGATTATTATGGGTGGAAACTTGTCGGATGGTTCTCGCTGATTAACTGTTGCAGGTGATTCTAACTGTTGCAGGTGATTCGGTCTCTATTCAATGTCATAACTTTTTTGAGGCGGCGGTTTGACGCTGACTTTATTCTTCTATAGTGATGGGTTCATCTCTATCTAATGAGCACGACATGTTTGATATTTGGCTTCACTGAAGCTTAAGTTCTGACGCGCGCTTTCTCTATTTTTTGTCAGACTTTGTGGTTTTTGCTAGTTATTAATTAGCTTGTGCTATGTATCCGGGATGGATGATCTTTCATGTTTCCCCTTCATCAGTTTAATTCTTCTAGCTTTCAAAAAATATAAAAAAGAGCTTGCTTTTATTAAGAGAGATTTGTGCAAGAATCGAGCCATCGTAAGACACTCAAAAGTATCTCCAAAATTTAAGATGATTCAGACAAAAATATTAAATTTGTTAAATTGATTTATTCTTAAATTAAAAGTTTGCTTTCCAAAGGGCTTGGACCTTAATTAAACATAATATTTAAGGTTTAAGACTTGGCTTGATTCGGTAATTATATATTTTTTATGTGTATACATAAATAATGAAATAATATATGTTAGTTCCTTTCTAATTTCGTGTAACATTTTCTAATTGACTTGCATGATCCTTCTTCGAGCTTTTATGGTAAAAACTAGCCTGCCCTTGTTCTTTTTCTCTTTTGCATCATTTCCATTGACTATCTTGGGTACTTTTGAGAGCTTTTTGACTTAATGAAGTCTAAATTATCTGCTTACTTATTCAATGTTTAGGCGGATGTTTCTATGGGAAACACCAGTTGGCCATTGATTTCCTTCTCTTGGTTTAAGTATGTTCTCACTCTAAGCAGTGTTTCACCTTTTTTTTGCCTGTTCTATATGGAATATTTTGGCTATCTCACTTGTTTTTTTTTAATGATGGTTCAACTGTATTTTGGATCTGTAACTCATTTGATTTTATTGTTAATTTTACTTTTTATGTCTGGAAATCAGGTTTTTTTTTTTTTTTTTTTGGTTTCAAGGTGGGGAATCCCTATTTCAAGGGAGAGGAGGATGGGAGGAAGCTTGGTTCAAAACCAAGCCTTAATGTCTTCCTAAAAGCTTCTGTGACCACTAGGCCACGAAGCGGAAGACCTGGAAATCTGGTTTGCTCTAATGGGATTGGTAACAAACTATTTGGGACCATCTCGACCGGGCACACAGAGTTGAAGATAACTTGGATCATGCAGTTTAGTCTGCACATTTCTTTTTGCTCGATGGATTCAGATCGTCAAGTTGAGATAAATGGTGACCTCATTCGATTTTCCTTTTGTTGGATGATGATTCCTGTTTCTTTTCCATTGATTTTGGTTTCTAGAGAAGGCAGTGGATGCTACATACAATTGTGACTATTTTGTACTTATGATGCTGGAAATTTTATTTTTACAGTTTTCTCAGAATCTGTGATGAAAATGAAGTTCTCTAAAATACAAAAAACCATAAATATAGTTTTCTTTTGTTCTCAAATTGATTTTAATATAACAATTGAACTGCTCTACTGCTGGAACTGCAATGGGCAGTGAGTTTATCTGGCTGTCAGATAAGCCTTTGCAATCCTTGCCTAGGATTCCTTCCTTTTTTCTGCCTTTCACGCTTCATATTTGGTGCTACAAAACTAGGCACCAAATACTTTCTTTTCTTTCTTTGCTTTTCGGAGCCCGCCTCCCCTTTTTCCTTTTGTTTCTTTGCTTTGGTCAAAAAGGTAGGCTTTGACTTATCAAGGCAATTTATCAACGCAGCCTCTGGTAAAGACAAAGTGCATAGAAAATGACCTCAGAAGAGTGAGTTTATTATTTGATCACGCAATTGAATATTAAACAGTAGTTATCAGATACTAGGCTGGCCCTGAATAAGAGCTGATATAAATATAAGAATCAACTCATCAAAAAGAGATATAGGAGTAGTGAAAAAACGAAAATACCATGGACAGGCAACCGCATGCACTGGTTATACCATTCCCGGCACAAGGACATGTAGCACCTCTTATGAAGTTGGCCCTCCAAATTGCTGCTCATGGTGTAAAAGTCACCTTTGTCAATGCAGAGTTCATACACAAAAAAGTTATGGTTTCAATACAGGAGAAAGCTGAGGATCGGAGCCTGATAAGCCTCGTCTCATTTCCTGATGGATTGGAATCGGACGACAATCGAACTGATTGGGTTAAGGTGACAGAAAGTGTGCATAGAACTATGCCAAGTTATTTGGAGGACTTCATACTGAAAATTAACCAATCAAATATCAATGAGCAGATCACTTGTGTTGTAGCTGATACATCGGTTGGGTGGGCTCTTGAAGTGGCCAAGAAAGTAGGGATCGAAGCAGTTGCAGTTTGGCCTTCCGGCGGACCATGCTTGGCTCTGGCACTACATGTTCAACAACTTCTTGAGGCTGAAATTGTAGATAATGATGGTAAGAATGTGAAAATATATACAATAAAAAGTAGAATAGAATTGACTAACTTCATCTAGGCTGAATGTTTTTATTTTATTACTATGTGAGAAAAACAAAGGCATAAACTCAAGAAAGCATCATCTGCATGTTATCTAATAGGCATACCAATTGTTGTGACTCATTTTTCATGATTAACAAAATAGTGAAAAGTCCTCACAGGCTATATCTTATTGAAAAATTAACTTGATGTTCTCTGTAGGAACCGTCATGAAAGATGAACCAATCTCGGTGTCAAAGGATGTCCCTGCCTGGAGCAGCTCTGAGATTGGATGGAGCTGCCCTACTCCAGCGATGCAGAAACTTTCGTTTGCATTTTATTGTATTGTCCCTCAGTATTCCAAATTTTATGACTGGTTACTTTGCAACTCAATTTACGAATTGGATTCAGCAGCCCTACAATTGATTCCCAACATCTTGCCCATAGGCCCTTTACTCGCAAGTAACCATTTGGGTACCTTTGCTGGAAACTTCTGGCCTGAAGACTCATCATGCTTAGAGTGGCTTGATCAGCAACCTTCAGGTTCTGTTATTTATGTTGCATTTGGAAGCACAAGAATGGCAAACTTGCAACAAGTAGAAGAACTAGCACTTGGTCTTGAACTTAGTGGCCAACCATTTTTATGGGTTATTAGATCTGATTTTATGAATGGATCACATGCTATGTTCCCAGATGGATTCAAAGATAGAGTGGCAAAACGAGCAAAATTTGTTGAATGGGCACCTCAGGAGAAGGTGTTGGCTCACCCTTCGATTGCTTGTTTCATGAGCCACTGTGGATGGAATTCTACTATGGAGGTCTAACCATGGGTGTACCCTTCTTATGTTGGCCTTACTGGGCTGATCAGTTCACCAATAAGAAATATATTTGCCACGTTTGGAAGACTGGTTTAGGGTTAACCCAAGATGGAAATGGAATCGTGACAAGGCATGAAGTAAGTACAAAGATCAAGACATTACTCTCTTCTGAGGTTATAAAGGCAAATGCACTGCATATAAGGGAACTAGCTAGAAAGAGCTCCCATGAAGGTGGATCTTCTTTCAACAACTTTAAGGACTTCATTGAACATATTAAGGGCATTTAGACCTGGCTAATCGTTTGAGGAGCTCATGCAGAAGACAGATTCTGCCGAAGTTGTTGTAAAACTAAGAAATAAGAGTGATCTACTGCTCGATCTCGATCTCAATAAAAGAAGTTGTCAACAGCCATGCAAACTGTTAATGTTAGAAGATGTGTTTAGGACTACTAATGTGGATTCATAAACGTTACTTAGTTGAATGTTTCAAATTGTTCCTGTTTTTTGGTGTTGGTTATTTTTTTGTTATTCAGGTTTGTGGTCATGGCGTAATCTTAGGACTATGATTTTAGTGGGTCGTTATTAATTAAGCTTTAAATTGTAATGTTTCCAATGTTAAGTGAAATTGAGTTTTCTTTGCTTCAAAATACGTTTCTCTCAATTTTCATTTGCCTTTACTATAGCAATACTCTATTTTTTTTATTAAAAAATAACAACATTTGGTATCAAAGCTCTCTTCTTAAGGGATTTATGTATGAATTTGACGCGTTATGGAAGTCAAAACCAATCTCTTTGCAATTGCTTTATCAGTGTTGGATGGAGACAACTACCAGATTTGGGTAATACATATAGAGATATACTTAAAAGCTTTGGATCTTTGGGAAGCAATGAAATAAGACTATCAAATTCCTGCACTTCTGAACTATCCCACCACAGCACAGATAAAAGTGTAGAAATAAAAAAAGATAAAGAAATCAAAGGCAAAGGCCTGCTTGTTTGTTGCAATCTCATCCACTATCTTCACTCATATCATGTCTCTGAAGTCAATAAAAGAGATATAGGATTATCTCAAGAATAAATATGAAGGAGATGAAAGAATTAAAAGGATGCAAGTCCTAAACTTGATTGAGGAATTTAAACTTCAAAGAATGAAAGACTCCAAGACGATTAAAGATTACTTCGACAAGCTTCTTAATATCGCAAACAAAGTGAGGCTTTTTAGATCTGAATTTACTAACTCAAGAATTGTAGAAAAAATTTTTGTTACAATACCTGAAAGATATGAAGCAACCATCACTACCTTGAAAAATACCAAGGATCTATAAAAAATTTCTTCGTAGAATTGCTTAACACATTGCAAGCACAAGAAAAAAGAAGATTGA